TTATAACCACCTAGTTATGGTATTTTTTAGAGCAGCCCAAACAAAGAAAAACAGTTCTGTTGCCTTTTCCAAGAAGACTTTCCTGATGTCTCCACACTGTGAGGTGCTTCGAAAGCCAGCACCTCATGGTGTGTTAGATCCATCGTGATCAACTCAAAGGTAGTACTAGGTAGATAAGATTTGCGGCATGCATGAGTGAATAAATATTGTTTCTGCTTCCCTAGCACTATTACATCATCATAATCTGTTCTGGAGTCTGTTCTTGTGCATCTGCTCGTCTCCTGGCCCACAGACTTCTTGAGTCATAATTATATCTTATCCATCTCCATATCCCTAGCACTGCCTCTAGAGTGCATACTGGACACTGAATCATCTTTTGTAATTGTATTTATTGGTTAGTAAATCAATTGAAATGTTGATTGAAACAAGGAGTTCATTCAGCAATTATTTATTAAATGCGGATTATGCACCTCTACTATGATGATTACTGGTAGCACAAAGATTAAAAGACCCAGTTCTCTTCCTTATGAAGTGTGTTGACTAAGCAGAAGAAATGTGAACATATATTTGCTATCTGATATGATTATGACTCTGGGGGAAATATATAAAAAGTTCTGTAGAAATACATAGGAGAAAGCACCCCAAGTGTTAGAATCAGGTAGCGAAACTTCTTTAAAGATACAACATTTAAGCTAATGCTTCAAGTATTTCTCTTTTAGCGATTATCTGTTCACCAAGTACACTTAAAAAGTTCTCACTGGTCTTCTGAATTAACTTACTCTATTAGCAGGGTTCTTTGTTTGCAAATCAAAGGAAACCATTAATCAAGGGGTGAAAACAAGCCTATGCTGGCTTAACTGCCCCATCCAGAGGAAGACAGAGCACCTTGATTGACAGCCCTTTATGAAAACTGTATGCACTGAGAGAGAAGAGTTCTTAAGGCAAGATGGAGATGTTAGCAGAAAAAGGAAAATAGATTAGGGGAGGGTAGAGTAATTGACAGACAAACTCTCCAAGGTATGTTGACTGGTTTGGTTCTCAAGCCAGCTATATTTCCCAATATATATTTTCTAAATGTGCTTCCTTGTTATGTCAATTTTGGATCTTTCAGTTGCAAGTCAGAGAAACCTGGCTCACAGTGGCTTCAATAATTGACATGTATTTTTCTCACTAAACGAGAAATCTGGAAGGTGCTGGTCCAGGGCAGGTGCAATACCCACAATTCATCTTAGGGCCATTCACTCCAAGTGTGGTCCCAGGGCTGCTGGCTTTAGTCTAAACTGGTCTGTGATGGTGTTATGGATGGAACTGTGTCCTCTCAAAGTTTATGTGTTGAAGCACTACCTCCCTTAAATGTGGCTATTTGGAGATAGGACCTTTAAAGAGGTAATTAAGATTAAATCATCATAAGGGTGGGACACTAATCTAATATGACTAGTGTCCTTATAAGAATCAGGAGAAGCACCAGGGATGTGCACATACAGAGAAAAGGCCATGTGAGGACACAGCAAGAAGGCGACCATCTGCAAGCCCCAAGAAAGGTCTCAGAAAAACCTCAACCTTCCAACTCCTTGGTCTTGGACTTTCAGCCTCCTGAACTATGCGAAATAAATTTCTATTATTTAAACCACACAGTCTATGGTATTTTTTTTTCTTTCTTTCTTTTCAGTCCCCATAGAGACTGCCAAAAATTGCCAATGCCAACTATGTTTCAAGTGGTCATGGCGGGGTATTGGGAAAATTTTTCAATTAGCAATAATCGCGCCTCGGATAAACGTCATTGGCTACGATGCTGCGACTGTGCAGAGCTATGGTATTTTTTTATGGTTACCCAAGCAAACTAACACAGATAAGACAAAAACAGAATATTGGAGTAAGCATTTAGAAACTTGGATAAAATTTGCCAGAATTATTTAATGTCTTCTGAATCTAATAAAACATAGGAGCAAGTATTTTGAATGCCTTTATTTATTTTTATTGTATTTTAATCAGTCAACAATAGGTTGAATTTTGTTAAGTTATCTTTAACCACAGATAGACTAAGAAGCACTGTCTTAGGGTATCCAGGCTCTCTCTATATTTCTTTTGGCTTTTGTTTTTGTATGAGTAACTTCAGGGGCCTCAAGACAGCTGCTATACCTCCAAGCATCGTATCCTTATTCCAAGCAGAAAAAAAAAGAAAAGTTAAAGGTGAAAGTAAATAGAGGTGCCTGTTGAATCCATCTCCTTTAATCAAGAAAGCAAAAACTGACCTGGCATGGTGGGTCACACCATGTAATCCCGGTACTTTGGCAGGTTAAGGTGGGAGGATCACTTGAGCCCACAAGTTCAAGACCAGCCTGAGCAACGCAGTGAGACCTTATCTCTACAAATAAGTTTAAAAGATTAGCCAGATGTGCTAATGTGCACCTGTAGTTCCAGCTAATCAGGAAGCTGAGGTGAGAGAATTGCTTGAGCTTCCGAGGTCAAGGCCAGTCTAGACAACATAGCAAGTCCTTGTCTCTACAAATAATAACTTAAAAAATTAGCCAGAGGTGGTGGCGGGTCAGTCGTCTCAGTTATTTGGGAGGCTGAGGTGGAAGAATTGCTTGAGTGTTGGAGGCTGCAGTGAACTGTGATCACACCATTGCACTCCAACCTGGGCAACAGAGCCAGACTCCATCCCAAAAAAAAAAAAAAAAGGCATAAACTTCCTGGAAAGCTCATACTAGAGACTTCTGCTTCTATTATGCCTTAATTTATTTCTGCGGCTATAACAAAATGCCACAAACTGGGTAATTTGTAGATAATAGAAGTTTCTTTCTTACAGTTCTGGAGGCTGAGAAGCCTAAGGTCAAGGTGCCAGCAGGTTCAGTGTCTGGTGAGGCCTTGCCCTCTCCTTCCAGGATGGCATCTTGTTGCTGCATCCTCACATGGCAGAAGGGCACAAATGCATAAATGCACTCCCTTAATACCTTTGTTATGGCACTGATCCCACCCATGAGAGAGAAGCCCTCATGACCCGATCACCTCCCAAGGCCCCATCTCTTAACTCTTGACTTTTCATAATAAGACCAATGAGGATTCAAAAAGAGACCCATTGATGTCCCCAAAAAACTCTTTGCTCCAGCTCTGCTAGCCTCGCTGTTTCCTGCCCACAACTAAATAGTTACAACCCTGTGGGATATTTAAATGTGAAACTATTTTTAAGATGGATGTTTTCTCTCAATGTAAATACAATTTCTTGTGTGTGTTTTCATTCTTTCACTCATTTGAAAAAATTGGGACATAGCAGAAGAGAAGACAAACAGGATTTACTAGAAAGGAGGTTAAATTCCAATGTATGAATTTTGGAGGGAAACCAACATTCAGGCAGTAGTAATCTATTAGCGAGAAGGGAGAAGGGAGTTATAGATTGCAGTTGAGTAAACTTAAATGCATAATAAACTGGTTTTACATCAATCTCTTGAGAGCTTGGGTAGTATAAGTTTAGATCTTAGTTCTTTCTAAATATGTGATGATAGATGATGATTGAAAGATGGTGGATGATAGATAAATAGATAGATGATAGATAGGTAGATTGATCATACTGTCCTATGGAAAATCAACCAACATAGGGCTCATTTGGGAGGTCATGCATGTAGCAGCCAGTCAGCCTTTTCTTTTAATTCACTAAACCAGCAAGGGCTCCATCTGTTATACATATGCAAAGCAGTGTACTCATGGAAGTGCTTTAACATAAATTGCCACATTTAACATAGGTAACTGTTCTAGCGGCATTGGAGATAAATTCTAAGAAAATAAATTTAGGTCATTGATTAAAGAATAAACTTGCAGGCTGGGCGTGGTGGCTCATGCCTATAATCTCAGCATCTTGGGAGGATGAGGCGGGAGGATCACGAAGCCAGGAGTTCGAGACTAGTCTGACCAACATGGTGAAACCCCATCTCTACTAACAAAATACAAAAAAAAGTTCGCTGGGCCTGGTGGCATTCGCCTGTAATCCCAGCTACTCAGGAGGCTGACTCAGGAGAATTGCTTGAACCCAGAAGGCAGAGGTTGCAGTGAGCTGAGATTGTGCCACTGCACTCCAGCAAGACTCCATCTCAAAACAAAAACAAAACAAAACAAAACAAAAAGAATAAACTTCCAATAACCACCCCATCTAAGAGTCTTCATATAAATTGAAATTATTTGGTAATCAGGCATTTGTTTAGCATTTTCTTTCTCTTTTTTTTTGAGATGGACTCTTCCTTTGTTGCCCATGCTGGAATGCAATGACGCAATCTCAGCTCACTGCAGCCTCTGCCTCCTGGGTTCAAGTGATTCTCCTGCCTCAGCCTCCCAAGTAGCTGGGACTACAGGCGCCCACCACCACGCCTAGCTAATTTTTTGTATTTTTGGAAGAGACGGGGTTTCACCATGTTGGCCAGGATGGTCTTGATCTCCTGAACTAGTGACCCGACTGCCTCACCCTCCCAAAGTGTTTGAATTACAGGCATGAGCCGCTGCGTGGCCAGCACTTTCTATCTTTTAAAGTTTTGGTCTGGAAATAAATTTTATATTGTTATTGGTTCTGTGTGAATAATAAAGGAACCATGCAAAATATTTGGGAACTAAACCAACACCACACCTCTAAGCAAGTGGTACTAAAAGTCAAATCTCCTGAATTACATGTCTCACCATTTCTTGACTTTTCATAATAAGACCAGTCAGGAGTCAAAAAAAGACCCATTGATGTTCTCCCAAAACTCTTTGCTCCAGCCCTGCTAGCCTCCCTGTTTCCTGCTCACTACAAAATAGTTACATCCCTGCAGGATATTCAAATGCTAAATAAACTATTTTTAAGATGGATGTTTTCTCTCATGGTAAGTACAATTTGTTGTGTATGTTTTCATTCTCTCACTCTTTTGAAAAAAAGGGAACACAACAAAAAATAAGACTAACAGGATTTACTAGAAAACCAACATTTACATCAGTTATTAATAAAACATAATTGTGAAATTTTTACCAACAAAATAATGTTGTGTGCTTTTTTGCCTAGGTTGAGCACTCTCTTTCTCGATCCTCTACACTTTTTCACTAGCTATTATGTCACTTTCCTCTGCCATCAGGCACTGTAATAAAAAGCCATCTCTGAGGACACGAACGAGACCATTCATGAAGACAACGTAGAGAGAAAATGAGCAGACTGTGTCTATTTCAGAATCTCCCTACCAGCCATCCTGAGCCCAATGTGACAAGATCTTGTTGTAAAGATCGTGTAAAGTAAAAATTTGTATTAAAATGTCCAACATTGAAATGGTAGATGTTTTTGTTTTTGTCCCATTTTAAAATAGATTCAATTACTGTGTAGATAATGTAATGCTCTCATACCTACACAAATTGTTTTATGATTCTTTCAAATGATATCCCACTATTGAATATTCAATCATTTATGCCAGTAATCACTGTGATTCTTGAACATAATTGAGATGTACTTATTTAGTTTACCCTTTCAGCTATCTGAATATGAAAAGGAAACAAATCAAGACAACATCTGGTATGTCGGGATATTATCCACAGCCTGAATCAAAGAAGGTAAGACAAGTAACAGGCACTTTTGTGCAGTGGAAAGGGCTCTGGGCAGGACATTTGAATCCCATTTCCCAGTGGTGGATCAATGGTCAAATCACTTAATCTACTTGGGCCTCAACTGTCTTTGATGTTTACTCCCTAGGATGAACTTTATGATCCTGGGATTCCTTCTGCTCTGTGGTTTACAAAGCTTGAAAACGGATAGGTAAAAATTGAAGATGATCTTTACAACAAGATCCTGTCACATTGGGCTCAGGATGTCTGGTAGGGAGATTCTGAAATAGACAAAATCTGCTCATTTTTTCTCTGCATCATCTTCATGAATGGTCTTGTTCCTATTGACTTAATTCAGATCTATCTTTATGTGCTTTTGTATATGTTGGCCCAAAATACTGTGAATTAGTTCCAAACATTTAAAAATTGGGATACATTTCTCAATAATATGGGTTTCTAGTTTCTTATGAAAAAAAAAAATTAAAAATCCAGAAAGAGTAGACTCAGATTTCTGGTACTCCACCTTTCAGATGGGACCTATACTTTACATATGAGGACAGTTTTTATTGTTCCATATTGTCTCTTTCCCTGTGTTATCTGTGTATCCCCTACTGTCAGATGTTTTTAACCCTAACTGTCAGGACTTTATATCTGCAGCTACTTCTTCATAGAATAGCAGACCTCCAGATATTCACCTAACCTGGCTGTATTTTCTTTTGAACAGTTATCATATCTGAAATTATGCTTTCTGTTTGTTTGTTCGTATGTTTGGTGCTTGCCCTTACTAGAACAAAACCTTTTCAGAGGGAAGACACTTTCTCTTGTTCACCAGAGTATTGAGCACATAAAATTATATTTGGCATATGGTAGGTATCAAATAATTATCCATTGACATGTGGTTGACTGTTATTTCCTACCCTTTTGGAATTTATATCTTCTATTTGCCAAGCAAAGTGTTTTACGAACTATTTTATTATAGGAAAACTCAAAATATCAGCCCTCACTGTGAATATATTTAAAAACAAACGGTGTTGTTTTCCTCTCAATTATTCAGGAAATACGTGATTATTGGAGAACGATTAGAAAATATGGAAACGAATATCACTCATAATTTCATTCAACTGAACTATGTATTTCAAAATGTTGACTTTCTATTTTAGTACTTTTTCAGGAGCGATGTGCTTATATTACATATGTTTAAACTTTTTCACATACTCTCCCTCTTCTTCAGTCATTCATACAATAAAACTTTCCCCTCTT